ACCCCGCCCGCGGCATGGTTTTTCCTTTTGAGCCCTGAAAAGGTTGGGCATCCCTTTAATGTTTCCTTTACTGAAAACTAGCTCAAAAAAGTGCAAATTTACGAAATTAACCTCTAGAGCGTCATTTTTTACCAAGTTATTTGGAATTCATATCTTCGTAGTCTCGTAGACAAATTCACTTAACAAAACCCACATAGATGACGTTGGGCCGGAGCGTGGGGGGCGGTCCGCTGATCCGGCTCCCGGTCCCACCACCCGGCCGCCGCATTCTCATCGTAGGAACGGTAGCCGGCTGGCACCTCGAACACCACGTCTTCGATCGTCACCGGGCTGACCACCCCGCCAATGTCCTGAAAGTTTAAAAATAATTGAAATTGAAGTACAAATTTGGATCAAATATATAATTTGGATCCAAATTAAAGGGATTTTGGGAATCGCCATCATTTTATCGAAAAATCATTTCGTCGAGATTTCATTTTATCGAAACTTAATTGTGCTGAAATTTCAATTTGCGAAATGCCTGAGATGAAAATTCGACCCGAGAACGCAATGAAATTTCAACAAAATGATATTTCAATTAAAAAATGGTATTTTGACGAAATAATTTTCGACAGACTGAAACTTCGACAAAATGAGATTTCGACAGCTCTCGACGAGGGGATTTCAGAATTTTCAGTATTTTCAGAATTTTTTTTGCTTCCACCAAAGGTTTTCGATTTTGGAAACATATGCTTCAGCCGAAAATCTCGCTCCGAAAAAATACGCCTCAATATTTATTTATTATTGGAAGGTGGCATCAAAAATCTAACAAACCTCTCCCAACGGTGTCACATACGGCCCTGGCTTGTTGATGTTGCCGAACGTGATTTTGGCGCTGACCTAAATTAAAATAAATTACAAATTCGTGCTCTAGCTCACCACATGGAAAAGCGGGATCTCGATCTTGGCCGGGAAGCCGGCAGGGAGTTGGAGGCGGATAAAGTTGTTCAACCGGGCAAAATGCGCCGAATTCGAGGCCATCAGGTCGACGATCGGGATCACTTGCTCCTAAAAAATCCTTGTTTTCAACGAATAAATTTATAAAATAGTAATAAAGCGGAATCAAAATCCTTTTCGTTTAATGAATAAATTTATATAAATAGTACTAAAAAGGCACAAAGTTACTGTAATAACTTTAAATTTAGAAAACTGTACCTGTAGCTGCAGCGGATAGTCCTCGGCCAGCCACAGCGTCGCCTTGAACGTGTTCGACTTCCGGCAGATTTGCTTGGCTTTTCCTACAAAAAAATAGTGTTTAAAAACACAATAAGCCTACCAATATCACATTGCAGGTCGAAATCCTTGTCCAGGTATTCGGCAACGGTGATTCCGCCTGAATAAAAGAATTAAGCTTTTTCGAGATTACATTTTCTAGTACAATTTTCAAATATATAGTGTAAGTGCTTCTAAACGGTTTTTCACTTATCAGAAAGGTGAAAACGCTATGACATTTTATTAAAAACTCCCAAAAACATCGATTTTTCAGCCAAAAAATGGCAGGTTTTTACCAAAATTTCGGTTTTACGTTTTAACAAACTTTAGATAGTTTTTCCTAATCAAATAGCGTTCTATTTTACCAACAAATTCATACTGAAAATCCCACCCAAATGGTCGGCCGATTGTGGAGATTCCATGGCCGTTTCGCTCCGCACCATTTTCAGCACAGAAGAAAGTGGGTGAGAGTCGGACTCCTAGAAAATGACGTAATAAAATAGCATAAATCTAGTTGATCTCGAGAAAAATGACAATTTGTAAAGTTAAGTGACCTGCTTCAATCGAGCCTTATCTTCAGTCGACAAATGCTCGAGCCGCTGCTTCGTCACCAGATCCACGTTCGACGCGTTGAATACCTGAAAAACCAGATGATGATTGATTATGGATCATACAACCGTAAAAACCCTGGAAAAAGCTGAAACACACCTACCTTACAGTCATACCCGTCCACATTCTCTGTTCTCTCCGACGAGGCGATCCACGAGAAAAACCCGCCGCCCTTCGAGCGCTCGAATCCGATCTTGTCGACATCGATGTAGGTGGTGGAAATTGGCTCGCACATCCTGAAAGCTGGTTTTATTAAATTAACACCTTAAACACAAAAATAACTATTTTTTTGAATTTTTGAAATCGCGATTTACAAAAAAATGGTCCTTTTGCATTATCGGGCGGGGGGGCTAGTAACATAATAGGAGTATTTGAAAAATGCTTTTTAACGAACAAAGCTGTATTTCAACTAGAAAAAACTTTCAAACATCCTTCAAAAAGAGGAAATTTTCGTCAAAAACGGCCATGTTTTGGTCGCAAAGACTATATTGTTCGCATTCTTCACGAAAATTTGTACCGTTTTTACGTAAATGAATAGTAAAAAACAATTTAGAAACACTGCCTCTTTTTATACTTAAAACATCGGATCCCAAACCCCCCGATAATGCGAAAGAACCGGAAAAGTTACTGTAAGACGCCCCTACTTACCTAAAAGTAATCGCCTCCTCCGGCGGATCGTAATCTTCGAGCTGATCATCGTCGGTGATACTTTGGCATGTCGCCTAAAATACCGAAAAAAATTATTTTAAAACATCTTCACATTTCTGCCCCTAAAAAAGTAACTATAAAACCATACCGATTGCGCGTTGTGGTCCATGATGATGAGCTGTGGTACGTCTTGCTCGGTTAGCCTACAAAACCCTAAATTTTATGGATTTCTATCGCACCTAAAAATGAAGGTCTGATTCCCGCGCTTCCAGGAGGTCCCTTCGAAGCCGACGAGGGTAGTATCGATCCGGACCGACGAGCCGCTTTTGCAAATCTAAATAGTTTAAAACTTTCGCTCAGATTCGTAAATTACTTACCTTATAAGTATCACTCGGGCACATCCGACTCACAAAGGGGACCCACGAGGAGAATTCCCAGTTCATTTCCGCGTAGAAATCGGGTGTATCCTGAAAAATCGATGTTTTAGGTTCTCTCAACTTTAAAAAGCATTTTCGTACTTTTAATCGGCCCAGGCCATGTCTCGAAAAACCACCAACCTTCAACTTTTTGAGGGTAGCCCGCATGGAGCGGGAGGCTTTTAGGCTGCGCTGATGATCGCGGTGCTTGATGACCAGTCGGATGAGATCGGGATCGCATGAAGAAACGGCCTCGTGGCTAACTGACCACATTCCTGAAAAGCAGGCAGTATATTATTTTGTTTTTCATTACAAAAAATCCTGCCGTAGCCGATCAACCAAATATAAAGCAAAAAATCTATAAAACGTAAAAAATATACCCTTATTTTGCGAGTCAGCATCGGCTCCTCGCAACAGCAGCTCTTTCGCGCAGCCTGTGTGCCCCAGCGAAACGGCTAGCATCAAGGGGCTCCTCCCACGGCAGTCCAGCATGTCGAGGTCGAGCTAAAAAGAAAAGGATTTTTTGCTAAAAAAGAGCCATTTTTAGTAACAATCGAGTTCCGACAGGGACGCAAAATTTTGCGCTGATTGCAACCCGAGTTTCAAAATCTGCAAAACGACGGTATCAAAAATTGAGGAAGCTTTTCAGTGCGAAAAAGGCCCAAAATGGCCTAATTTTGAGAAATTTTTGACTTTTTCGTATTGAAAAGCTTCATAACTCACAGGTCTTGGAAACAGATTAAAAATTAGCGCAAAATTCTGCACTAGGTAGGCATTGCCCCCGTTTCGAACCCGATTGTCGCGATTTTGAAAAAGTCTATTTGTAAGTATGTTTCACCGAAAAACCACAAAAGAAAAATGTCGTAATTGGGCGAATTCCATTTGGGCTTCAATAAAAGCTTACCTCTCGATTCGCGTCGAGAACCCCTCGCAACCCGTCCAAATCGTTCCCGTATACAGCCCAATGGATGGGGAACTCGCGCTGCAAGTCGGAGAGGGACATCCCTGTAAGAAAGTTATACAAAGGTACTGAAACCCGTGAAATCGAGGTGAGAAAAAGCAAATGAGAATTTCTAGAAATTTTAGCGATTTCGGCAGTCGAAACGTCGAAAACTTCGATCGATACAGAAAATTAATCTTCTGGAATAAAATGTAGTTTTTCATCAAATTTTCTTTCGCAAAACTTTCCGTTAAGAAAAGTATTGTCAACGCGTCAAAAAAAAAATTGAAAAAAGTTACGCGACGTATGACACCTATAGACAAAGTCCGTAAATGTTGTAACACGGAATCAAGTTTTTCTAGAAATTTTAGCGTTTCTGCAGCTGAAACGTTCAAAACTTCGATTGATACGGAAAAATAATCTTCCTGAATATAGCAGCTTTTCCTCAAATTGTCTTTCGCAAAACTTTCCGCTCCACAAAAATAGTATTTCGGCATGAAAAGCCCGGTGCCAGCTGATTACCCGCTGCAACGGCCGACTACAAACAACACGGGGCGAGGGGGCGGGGAGGAGCAGAGGCCGCGAATGTCTCTCCTTCTCTCTTTCTCTGCGCCCGCTCTCTCTCCCCCCCTCGGCTCCATCTGCCCGCCCTCCCTCACTCCGATTGTCTCCCCCTCTTCTATACGACTTTGCACGGGTTCTCTATCTCTCGATTTCTTTTGCTTTCGGCTTCCAACTTATGATTCTCCACTTTTGCGATTTTAAAGGGACCGGTAACCCAAAACAGTTTTTGCGTTTTTTGCGTCCCTGCTTCTGTTATTTTGTAAAAGGCCTGCTAAAATGTGCATATCATTAGAAATTCCTCGGGATTTACACGTTTTAAAGCTTCTTTTTAGTTAAAATGATAGTTGAACCACTTTTTCCGGCTGTTTGTAATTAGCTTTTGGGGTTGGGGTTTTGAATCTCTATTTTTTATGGTCTGGATAACTACTTTTTTCGGTTTTTTTAGTTACCTCTTGCAGCCTTACGTTTTATTTCCTGGTCAAATCTATCTTTTTTGATAGTATGGATTAATCTACCTGTTTTCCTTTCGATTTCGGTGGTTTTTTTACGATTCTATACCGATTTTTCAGAAGATGTCAACCCCGGCGGAACAAGCAGCTGCCGAGAAGACCCTCGGAAACGACTTCTATAAGGCCAAGAACTTTGCTCAGGCCCATGAGCACTACGACAAGGCCATCGAGCTCGATCCTTCCAACATCACCTTCTACACCAACAAGGCCGCCTGCTACTTTGAGGAGCAGAAGTTTGACGAGTGCATCGAGCTCTGCAAGAAGGCCGTGGAAATCGGACGCGACAACCGTGCCGACTACACGCTGATCGCGAAGGCGATGGCCAGGGCCGCAAATGCGTACCTGAAGAAGGGCGAGAAGAAGGAGGCCCTAACCTGGTTCCAAAAGTCGCTCTCCGAACACCGCGACCAGGACCTCGTCAAGAAGGCCAAGGCGCTCGAGAATCAGATCAAGGACGAGGAGAAGCGCGCCTACATTAACCCGGAGTTGGCCGAGGAAGAGAAGAAGAAGGGTAATGAGCTCTTCAAGAAGGGCGACTACCCGTCAGCGATGAAGCACTACAATGAGGCGGTCAAGCGCGATCCGGATAACGCTGTCCTCTACTCAAACCGCGCCGCCTGTTTGACGAAGCTGATGGATTTCCAGGTAAAATTTTGCTTTTATGAATTTCCGTTATCTATCCAACACTATTTTTGGCTTTTTGGCTCTCTTCTTGCTCCCGCCCACCGCGGTGCGGAGGTTATTTCTCTTACTTTTCTTACATCCTTCCCTTCCTTATTAGTAGTTTTTGTTATTTCAAAACGTAAAATCCCTCCTAGAAAAACCCTTTTCTTAATAATTTTTGTAGAATTGTTATAATTTTCAGGACATTTCTAGCGACCTAAAATCTTGAAAATCAACAGAAACTCGTCCTAAATCCTGGATTTTCCCTTTAGCTTTTTTGAAATCTAAACTTATTGGAATTTTGTAAATCTTTTCCCATTTAGGAATGAATTTTTATGATTTACTTTATTTTTCAGCGTGCTCTCGATGATTGCGACCAGTGCATCCGCAAGGACAAGACCTTCATCAAGGGCTACATCCGAAAGGGTGCCTGCCTGATCGCGATGCGGGAGTACTCACGTGCCCAGGACGTCTATCACCAAGCCCTCAGCATCGACCCGTCGAACGCTGAAGCCAAGCAGGGCATCCGCCAGTGCCTGGAGAACGAGCCGGCCTCTGCCGGAAGCTCGGACGGCGTTCGCGAGCGCGCCATGAAGGACCCGGAGGTTATGGAGATTCTGCAGGACCCGGGCATGCGCCTCATCCTCGAGCAGATGAGCCAGGACCCCGGTGCCATCCGCGAGCACCTCGCCAACCCGGAGGTCGCCAAGAAGATCATGAAGCTCCGCTCAGCCGGTGTCGTCCAGATGCGTTAATTCTCTCAAGCTCCAACCCATTCCCCGTCTCCAACCATTGTTATTTCCGGCGTTTTTGAATTGTTATGATCTTGTTTTTCTGTGGCAATTCCATCAATACTTCTACCTTTTTGTACGTGTATCAGTTTTTTAAAATCTCTGGGTTACTCTCTCGGCTTTTCGATTTGTAGTCACACATCCCTCCCATTCCGGTGATTGCCCAGTTACAACCGTTTCTCCCGTTGATGCTTGATTTTCATTACGTGTCCTCGTTTTAAAGGCTTTTAAATAAACAAAATTTTAGCAATGAACGAGCCCGGTACTTCCGTTCAAGAGGACGACCATTTGGATGAGGATGTGAAGCCAGAGGTTATTTCAAAGTTCATTTTCATATTTTTTTTTTGTTTAGATCAACGCCCTCTTCCAGCAGATCCAGGATGAAGAGACGGATGACTATTCGCGGATCGACGGCTCTCACATTTTATTCGGAGCCTCACATGAGCCAGATGTAAGATTTTTTGCGGCTTTCTTCAATTTTGTGCGCTTTCAGGTCCGCAGCGTACTGTACAACGAGCCGCCCTACAAGAAAGCAAAATTTGGGGAGACCGATCGGACTTGTCAGGTATTTTGGTGTCTTCTGGAGATCTTTCAAATTGTTTAGGTATGCTTCAAGATGATGACAGCTCGCCGGGCACCAAGTCAATATATGGCCCACGTTATCACACATCTGGAGACAAAGAGCTGGGCTTGCACTGGTAAGTTTTAAGACGTTTTTCCGCTTTAACTTTAATTTTTGAAAAAGTACACAATTTTTTCAGAATGTGGCCTGGAGCTTCCTTCCGAAAACGAGATCGTCGTTCACTGCATCAACTACCACGACGGCAAGGGGCAGGCCATGGCGGGGAAGTAAGATTTTTCTACAACTTTTCGGCTTTTCTTGCCGTCGACCCTGGGATACTGTAGTCCTCAAATTCCCACTCTGGCCCCCTATAGATCGTCGTGAATTCCGATTTACCCTCGAAATCAATTGGTAGTCGGGGGAGCGCTTATGCACTAGAGAGGCTGCCAGCAGAGAGCTGGAAAGTGAGAGACTTCCCAAAATAGAGAGACATCAGAGGGATAGGGAGAGGGAGAGCTTCTTTGGGTCCCTGTTGGCACGAGAGCATGCGCATTGCTTAGAGGCAGGGAAAGAGAAAATGTGCTAGGGTTAGAGAGAGTAGAGTGAGTGAGAGAGAGTGAGAGATAGTGCGAGAGAAGCAGACATTCCACCAGGGGTGAAGATCGATTTCCTTTCTAGCCATCTGGCATAGTGATGAGGGTTGTTGGGGAGGGGCAGAGAGCGGGAAAAGGGATAGCGACGATAGAGCACTGGGTTTTGAGAGAGCGAGAGAAGGAGAGAGCCGAGCGGCAAGGGAGAGGTCGACGGCCTCTTCTCCCACCAGTCTAGAAAAGGGGAAAGAGGGACAGGGGGAAGAGAGAAGCAGAGATCAATTGGGAGAGGGGTATGTAGGGGAAGGGAGGGATGGGGCGGAGAGTGCGGGGCAGAATGAGAGGCGTCGCATGCTAGAGAAGTGGGAAGGCAAGGACGGAGAAAGAGCGATGTGGGCAGACAAACGAAGGGATGGGGTTGGCGGCCGCGCCAGGGCCTGGGCGAAAGATAGAGAGGGATGGAGAGATTCCAGTTTGCTCAACCGGTTGGATAGTGTTTACTACGAGAGGGAGCAGAGAAGCATAGAGGGCTGGTCATACGACAAGCAAGTGGGACTGGGAGTGGGATGGAGAGAGAGAAAGAGAGAGATAGAGAGAGAGTGAGAGAGGCATGAATTGAGAGAGAAGGAGAGACGTAGTAAGAAATGTTGTGCGGGTTGGACGGGATGCTGAGGCATAGCGAAAACGAGGGGGCAGCGAAAAATGGGAAAAATTCAGATGTGATATTCTGATTGGGAAATTTTAGGTCTGGGTGGGAGAGGTTTTAAAACAGCCTCTGATATCTTTTCAACCGTAAAAACTCGCGAAATTTTTGATTTTGAAAAAGATAGCACGACGATTCTAAAGGGGCCAGGCGGATATTCTACAGGACCGCAGTACCCCCGTACCGAAACTTACGACATTTTGAATTTTCAGAGACAAGTCCTTCGACGAGACGGTCAAGGAGATGACGTTCCGGTGCTTCCCGTCCCAGTCGTCCTCGCTCGAGGCATACAGAAAAATCCTGAATCGAGGGCTCGAGACTGCCTACCGGGACAACGTCACCCAAAACACTTCCAGCGAGTTTTGGAATGAGCCTGTTGTTAAGCAGGTATGGCCTTGCATTTTTCGGAATTCATAGAATTTGGGAGGCGAAGGTGATCGCAATCAATCAGATACTGAGTTGTTTTTATGACTTATGATTTTAGGAAGAACCAGAAATTCCGGAAGCCCATGAAACCTCCATCCCCACTGATCTTTCCAGCCTTCTCGGCTTGATTGAAGGTACACATTAAATGCAATGATTATTTTATTGTTTTTTAGATCAATTGCCGCGCTATGAAGCGCCGGTGTTCGACGCGGTTACGGCCGAAGCGACGCTCAACGAATCCTCGGAGAGGGAAAACCGGAGCTGTCACGTAAGTGAATTTTCGTGTTTCTTGCTGTCGCGATTCCTGTAAAGCGGCTCATATCGTTTTCTTTTAGCTGTGCGGAAAGTACATCAGTGGACGTTCACGGAATTCGCAGCCTAGCGCCTTCATGTCTCACATCATCACGCATGTCGATGTCAAGCTGTATGCCTGTTCTGGTTTGTAATTTTCCGATTTTTATATTAAAGGGATAGGGGCGGCATAAGTCAATCGATTACGCGCGGGAAAGAAAATGTCTCTGCGCCCCTCCCCTGGGCGCCCTCTCTCGCCGCTGCATCTGTTAAACCCCCTTCCCCAAGGGGGGTTCAACAGATGCCGTCCTCATCTCTAATGATTTCCGACGCGTCTTTAAATTTTTTTGAAAGGATTGATATGTGAAACAAATACAAAACAACAAATCACAAAAATTGAAAAGGAGAGGATATTATTTCATTTGATTTAAAATTTAGCTGATTTATCAACATCGTAAAAACGCTGTTTTTTAGTGTGCGGCCTCGAGCTGAAAACCGAGGACGATGTGGCAGATCATTGCAAGTCAAAACACAAGGGTCGCGGAAAGGCACTAGCTAGGTAATTAGTTGTACCCTATTTGCTAAAGGGTTAAAAATTTCTAATTTTATTCAGCAAAAGCGGTTCCGACCCTTTTAAACCCCGGTCTTTTCAGCAGCGACAGCCTAGGCCGACAGATGAGCGAGATGACGACAAGGTGCTTCCCGCTCCACGTGCCCCTCATCGAGTCGTACCGGAAGAAGCTCGGCTGGGGAGATGAGCGGACACCGCTCGACGAGATCGTACCCACCTTTGGGATGCCCAAGCGGAACAGCGACAGTGAGGTATGTTTCGAGCGGGCTTTTGACTTTATGGATTTCCTCTAATCTTCGCGCAAAATAAAAATGTTTGCCGTGATCGCTAAATTGAAAAGAAAAATTTGTAGTTTTTGAGGAGTTTCTAAATATTCCTCATTTTCAGCCGTACGTCTACAAGCCGCGGAAGGGCAAGCGGAAGACCGGCGACCTCAAGGAGGGCGAGGAGATGTCCGTCTTTGACGCCATCATCACCGGCAACCTGCATGTACAACACGCCAAGGAGGTTCGTGTCGGTAAAGAGCGGCTCCGGGCTTTTGCTTAAGTTGATTTTCGCCTCAAAACTTGGAACTATTGCTGATACCGAGGAATCAGTGATAGACCAGCATTTTTGAAACATCTTTTTACAGAAAGCCATACGCCACCTCCTCGACACCACCATCCTCGGCGTGCCGCTCGACCCGAAGCCAGAAGAAACGGCGGTACATCAAAAATCAATGATTGGTGCGTTTTCTTTAACATTTCCCGGCGGTTTATTTTGTAGTTTTTACATTTTTTCTAATCTATTCCGTGCAAGTAAAAAATTTAGATGCCGGCTGCGACGAGAATATTGAAGATCTATTCCCGCGAGAGTCGTCGCCTCCGACTCCCGAAGACCCGGTAGCTTTTTTCAGCAGATTTTGGAATTTGGATTTTTAGGAAGAGCTCGCCTCGGAAATTGCCAAGCTTCGCGCGCTGGTGAAGAAGCGTGACGCGGAGATCAAGGACATGGACAAGAAATTGGTGAGGATTTTTAAGCCTTCCAAGCGACGATTTTGGATGGAAAATTTCCTTGGACATACCAAGTAGCAGTTTTTCGAAAATTTTAGAAATTTTTGCAGTGTAGCTTCTGATTGATCTGATTACCCTGAAATCCCGAGTATAGTTCCGGTATACTTTGGCGACGTACCAATACAAATGACGCTCTAATAAGGTGCGTTCCCACCTTCTCGCCGCAAAAGCTATCTAGGCCAAAAGATGCGGTTCTTATGACTTCCTGCATCAATTTCTTTCATTAAACCACTCAAACTGCTAGAAATAGTCGAAATGTGAGCGAATCTTCGACCGAATTTGCCAAAATACCTTTCGCTAACGGCATTATTTGCAAGAAACCGAAAAAACGAAACACACCACTTTACGGCCGAACGGAATTACGCGCTACGTACGTTTCACCCGGAACTATGCTCGGGGTGGGGGGGACTATACTCGGGATTTTAGGTGGTTGTAGCGAGTCCACAGAAACAAAGGGGAAAAGTTAGGTCCAGTACCTGGGCCTCCGTCTTAAAATGGCATTCCTTTATTTTGGCGTCAGCTTCAACGTAGAATTATGCCCAATACCAGGGGATTCAAAAGCACGATTCGATAAAAAAAAATATTTGCTTTGGTAGTATGATTTTATTATCTCCCTTTTAGGCGGTCGAACAAAAGTCGCGGGCCGAGCTGAAGGCGCGCAATGTGCAGCTCGAGACGCAAATGAACGCCCTCGCGACCAAGGCCAATCAGGTAATTTTATTTTAGATTCCTTTTTATTCGATTTTTTGCAGCTCTACAAACTGATCGGCGACAAGAGCACGGAAATTATGGTGCTGGAGATGAAGGTACGGGATTTTCGTGATTCTGACAATCTATATGTTTAGAAAGACGACCTGATCGGCGCCCTCAAGAAGGTCGACCCGAAGGCTGCAAAGAAATTCGCGTGATCTATGTTTGTAAACAAATTAAATTTTTTTGCTTGTGATTTTGTGTGTCGTCACATTCCGCAGAGTATTGCCAAAAAGATACAATAAATCGTTTCTAACATTAACTTGGAGATGGCCGATAAATAATTGCTATAGTGTTGCAAATGGTTTTTTTGGAAAGTTACTAATTGCGTATTAGATTTTCTTGAAGAATTCCATGGCTAAAAACTGCTAATTTTTAGCCTTTTCCGGCTTTTAAAAATAAAATATGGACGTTTTAGCACTAAACTTGTTGTTTTTTCGGGATTGATAGGTAGGTTTGTCTGAATGTCCCTTTACCGGTTAGAGAGTGTAGGCGCAGACAAAGGGAGTCGCGACGCGCATGTCCTCAGGCGGTTACGATGCTAAATGAACCAGAAAAATAGGATTTGATAAATATCCAGCAATTTCACAAATTTAGGTTATACTTTTGAAAAAATTAGCTGACTGTTTAGATTCGGGAAATTGTTAGTGCTTAGTCAGTGAGCAATAAAAAATATTCATAATATTCGTGACACTATTACACACGAATTTCGCGTGTAATTTTTTGGAGCGAGGGAGCGAACGCGAATTCGTCAGAAACTTTTCAACGGGGACCCCGAAAATTCGGAAACATCGTTTTGAACAAAAAAACACGAACCTTACGATATGTGATTTTGTCCATAACCAAACCTCTTTGATTGGATTGCTCAATGCTATTTCCTTTTTCTAAGCGTTTTTTTTGGTTAAAAGACTGTCCTGGTTTCATTGATATTTGAACTTACGAGACTCAATGCTATTTCCTTTTTCTAAGCGTTTTTTTTTGGTTAAAAGACTGTCCTGGTTTCATTGATATTTGAACTTACGAGACAGCTGAAGACATTACGACTTTACCTTCCCTTCTCATCCCCATATTTCCAAAAACATTGTTTTTCATGCAGTATTTTAGCACCGTAAATTCGCCAGCCAAAATGCCGGACGAGGCGAGCTGCTCCAACATACCGGACATGTTGAACTTGTTCAACCTGCCGCCCGTCGAGGCTGAGGAGGACGGCGAGGAGCACGATGAGGCGCCGAAGGTGGGATTTTGCCTGAATTTTGAATGTTTCACTTATTTTCCGGACCAGTTCGTACATGGCTCTGAATAATGGCACATACATTCAGACACGCATTTTAATTTTGTACCTTTCAGAGAAGAAGCCATCCACGTGCAGCTAAGCGCGGCGCCGATTCATCGCCTGAGAAAGATAGCCCGAAAAAAGCGATGAAGCACAGAACTGAAGAGAAATCACCGGTATTTGGATTTTGAAAATTTTATCGAATAATTTTTTCTAGTCATCAAAATCGACAAATCGGGCCGGTTCTCAAGAGGGCGCCGACGACGATGAGGTTTGTATTTGATTTTCTGATATTTTTGAATATGTTAAAACGACCGGGAATGGTTTATGAAAGAAAATTTGGACTTTAGAAACTTATTTTCAACATGTTTGGCAGCGCTTTATGAGGTTTGACCTCCCTTTTTGTGTGAGTCGTTCAGTATTCCGTTCCTGTCGAATGTTACTGGAAAGAATTACCCATTGGCCTAGATAATATAAAACATTTTTTCAGCATTACATATACGGCTAACACCAATGTATTTTGGCAGATTATTCTGATAAAACAAATATTAGTTTTAGTAGAAATCAAGTGTACAAACTTAGAACATGTTATTTCCAAATTTTAACCGCTTAATTCAGGCAATCACCGGCGGTCACCTGGATTGGGGCCAAATTTTCGAGACGGGTACAACGGAGGAGCGCACGGCGCGCCAGGCGCGGCTTTCCGACGCCGGCAGGTCGCCGCGAGAGAGCGGTCCGCGGCAGTTTCGCCCGGACAAATGCAAGGTTCGTCCTGAGTTTCATAATTTGTAATTCGTCTGCGTCAACAACGCTATATTTTTATTGGGAGCAACACAAAATTGACGAATAGCGATTCACCCATTCACGGTAAATAATTGAAACATCTTCCGCGTTGCAGGTCTGCCAATTCCAATACAAGGGCTCCGCGCCGAATATTTGGAATGGACTGTCTCAGCACGTGTGGACGCATATGGACGAGAAACGATATGTATGCACTAAAGGTAGGTGGTTTGGCTGGTTTAAAGGGAGCGTGCCAGCAAGAGGGTTTGGGTCGAAATAATGTCCTATTCGACATTTCCGACGGTTGCTTAAGTTTGCTAAAAGATGGCTAATAGTTATATTACATAGATTTTTGGAATGTTTGGCTTATGGCTAGCTATCTTTGAAATTATATAGGTTTCTGTGGATCCGTTTTGGCTGAATTTAGACATCTATTCGCGTTGCCGGATTGCTGGAAAGCCATTAAATTGTGATGGTTTTTCCCAAGAAACATTTTTATTTTTCCACGCTAGTTGGGTGCCCGATGGTTTAACTTGCAAAAAAGTCTTTAAAAAGGACTGCATTACCGTAAACATTTCCAGGCTGCGGCTTCCAGTCGGGCAAGGCGACGAATCATACCTGCTCGGCGTTGACGGCCGCCGAGAAGAAGAAGCACGGCCCGTACGGGGATTACAAGGATGTTTTGTAAGTGTTAGTCGCCATTAATTTTCTGCTGGAAACCGGAAAACAGGTAAAATACAAAGAAATAAAAATATTTTAAAATATACGGAAATATAAATATTTCTTGGAAGGGGCGAGCGCGGAGCTATAAAAATCAATTTAAATTATTCTTCTTATTTTTCTAAATAATTTTTAATTGTTAATCAAAAGTAATGACATTAAAAGACTAACTCACTAATAAAAACGCTTCGGCCAAGATCAAAATAATTAAAACTGGCCTGATTTTTCTTAATTTCGACGTATGGACGGCGCCCGAATTCCAAATGACGAAATTCTGAAAATGCCGAATTTTTATGAAACACCCACATTTTTCAGGAGCCGAAAGCTGTTCGGAAAATACCTCTCCCAGCTCGACATTTGCTTCCCGAGGAGCGCCACCCAGCTGCACGCCTTTGTGCAACGGCAGCTGCAAAGCTTCGAGTTCAAGGAGGTCAGTTTTTAGGACTTGATGCGATTGTAGTAGCATAAGAGCATTGTTCAACTAGTGGTGGATGAGCGAAATTCGAAAAATGAAATGTCAATTTTTGACATTTAAAGGAACCTTGAAGTGTAAACTAGCTCTGGATTGAACTGCTGATTTTTGGGCAACATTTAGAAAGAATATGTTTTACTATAACAAGTGCAGAAACTCTCAAGAGCTATATCAATGGAATATGCCCCTATTTTTTATGTTGACGCAGTTTTATAGCGTAACCGGTTCACAGAATGATACCCGGAAAATTCAGTAAAATTTTCCAAAAAAAATCATTTTGAAATTTTAACACTCCTATTTAATGATTCCTAGAATTAAAAAATTATTTGTCGCCAGATTTTCATAATTTATTGGTTTTCCTAGGAATCCCCCAACAAGCCCGAAGCGCATCCGAAGAAGCCGAGTAAAAAAGACGGGCAAAACAAGACTTGCCAGGTAAGGCAATTCCTAATTTTATCAACCTTTAAAGGAATGAGGAAGGCATAGCTATCGATTTTTCGGTCATGTTTTTGCATTTGGGTGGCTAGGCTGTTAGCGGGGAAACGAATTTTCCCCCAGGAATTCTTTACGGTCGTATAACAAAATAGAAACCGTTTTTATCGCATTTACACGGTTTTTAGATATTAAAGACTCCCGAAAAACCTATAAAATTTTGAAAATTTGACGTTGGGACAAAATATAAACGAAATTTCCGAAAAAGTCAGCTTTCGAATTTTCAAAAACGTTTCAAATTTTTTTTGTAACTCTAGAAATCAAAAATTACGAATAATATACACTATTGATCATAACAGATAGACGGAATTATAGTGGACGAAAAAAGCAAAAATTCCTCTTGGCGTGTCGCTGACGTTCCCGGCAAAATCTCTGGGAATTGATAGCGAATAAAGTACATAATAACTGATGTCATTATGCGACCACTATGCTAATAATTTTTTTTTGGATTGAGAGTAGTGGAATGTTGATAAAACATTTTTTCTGACGAATTTCCTTGTTAATTTATTATACTGGTATTTCAGGTATGTCACAAAGTGCTGACAAGCCGAATGGCCGCCTACCAACTCATCCACCACGCCCTCAACCACATGAAGGTCAAGCCGTGGAGCTGCCCAGGTTTGTCTGAACAAATTTCTGTCACTTTACCGTGTTTTTACATTTTAAAAAAAATTTTAAAACTATTGTTTTAATTCCCTTTCCTGCTATGCAAGCAATAATGCATTGTGCTTTACATTGATTTAACGATTAAAAATTTTTCAATAGCTTTTTGCGTATAGCGCGAAAACCCTTTAGGTGAAAAAATAGGGTTTCAAATACGGACGTATTGAATGTGGGTCCTGAGCCGATAATCTCGTCCCGTCTCCATATTTTTCTTTAGAATTCAAAAAATTTGTTCGGTGTTATTTATGTAATTAATCTAAAAATATATATGTTAATTGTTATATTTCCGGCAGCTAAAAAATATGGGTCTCCAAGAAAATATTTTTGGAAAACGTAGGAAACAAAAAGTTCGAGTTTCAAAAATGCCTATGTCTGACGGTTGTCAAGATGCGACTAATCGACGAAACAAATCCTTCACGTATAGAATTTCAGGTTTATATTAGAGTTGTTATAACTCAAACAAAACAAGGCCTCAAACAACCTTGTTTGAACAACGTTGTTTGATAGGATTTTTGGAGATTCAAATCAAACATGTTTTGTTTGAGATGACCGTTGATCGCTCAAACAAAACAAGATTGTTTGAACTATTTGAGCAGTTTGAGTTTTGTTTGACCTTGTTTGAAATGCATGCTAATTTTGGATTTAAAGCGTGATTTTTCAGCATTTTCGCAATTTGCATAAATTTTTTCCGGTAAAATTTGTTTTTGAATGTTTGAATTCGCTTCCGATCCATCAAAAATCCCCAAAAATATTACCGTTTAGGGTGCTCAAACAAGTTCAAACAAGTCAAACAATCTTGTTTGATTTGATCCCCCTGGAACTCAAATCAAACAAGGCTGTTTTGTTTGAAACTTTTCGAGCTCAAACAAAGCAAACTTGTTTGAGTTGTTTGAATAATTTGTTGTTTGTTGCTTGAGTTATAACAACTCTAGTTTATATTCAAGTAATTGGAGGGCATTTCAATCAAGATTTTGCTTTAGAACTTTAAATTCATTCATCATCCACAAGATTACTGTAAGGGGGGATACACGTTGAGAAATATGTTTCAAAAATTGTCACGGAGAGCTGTTTTGCGGATCTAATGATTTTAAGCTGATTTACTTCTAAAATTTGCTAGGCTTATCGACTTCTAAAATTGTCGTAGTGTCCAATTAATAGATACAATGTTCTAGATTGCGATGTCACGTCGCGTACGAAATGGCCGATAACGACGCACATTCAACGCGAGCACAAGGGCGTCGGCGAGCCGGTGGATAGCAGGTAAGGTCTTTTTCAAATGAGGTAAATTCGAATTGATATCATAATGTCGAAATTTAATAATATCGAAATTCAGAATGTCGAAATTTACATAGGCTAATATTACCGGTGCAGCCCCCCTATTTTTTGCCTTGGATTCGCAACTTTACCGGGAACTTTAGCTTATGTCAATTTCGACATTCTGAATTTCGACATTATGATTTTGGACATTTTGAAAATAAGCCGATGAATTCTACAAGGATGGAAGGAACGTAGCTGTAACACAGTAGATGAATATTTCGTTACCCGATCTCTTCCAGAACCGACGACTACTTCCGTGAAGCCGAAGAGCTTGCAATAAAATGCTTCCCCCATCACGTGCTCGCCATCCAGGCATCGATGGCCGCCCAGCGAACATCGAATGACGATGAAAAGTCGGAGGAGGATGAGGAGAGAAATGGAAGTGATGAAGAAGAGGAGGAGGTCGAGGAGCAGGAGGAGGAGGTGGAGGAGAAGAAGAAGCCGGAAAAGGAGAAAGAGGATGAGGTGGATTAACTTATATAATTGGATGTTTTATATAATATGCTGTATGTTGGTTTTATATAATTCTCGATTCCATGCGGTAACTGATTACGATCCCTTTACGGATACGGGAAAATTGAGAGGCTGTCCTGCCGGCCCCTTTAAAGTTTAAACCATCTTTTTTTCAGCTTGATGCGGCGACGTCGGCGGCAATTTTGGAAGCGATGTACGGCGGCCCGGACTCTCCACCCCCACGACGCCAACTTCGAGCCCGTAAACCGGCTGCCCCGCCGCCACCGCCAATTGAAGAACCAAAAGGTTAGATACGGTTTAGAGCATATTTACCTTAAACAATAAATCAATAGTTTAAAATGAAGATATTTCAGTTGGAATTATGCCTCCTCGTACTAATATATAAACTATTCAGGAAGACGCGCGAGTGGCCGTGTCAAGGATCAGCATACGAAGTCCGTGAATGTAAGGCTAAGTTTTGAAGAAATATCATACAGTTTTGTGAGGCATTTCTGGGTTTTTAGGGTTATATAATTAAAGGTCGTTGGTGTCAAGGCGTCGCTTTTTCGGATTAAAGGGAGCAAGGTATCGCGATGGATTTCTTCGCGGTTGATTTCAGCGCAAACGCACCTTTTGATTTATCATTGCTTATGAAGGGTCGTAATTCATTACGCAGTGAAAAGAACGCGCAAGCGTTGCCTGTCGGTGACTGCCAAGCTCCATAAGGAAAACCCATAGTCAGGCCTCGCACAGCCCTTGAAATCGGCGATTTCAGAAGTGCTTTTTACTGAATTTGCAAGTTTTGGAAAAAAGTGTTTCACCTTTTCAAAAAGTTGAGCGCTCTTTATTTTTATTAATTATATTCAGGCAAGTTTAAAAGCTTTGAAAGTCGAAATTTTGCTCAAAAACCGATCAGTTTTGGTTAAAAAATCATCTTTGTGGAATTTTGTTTAATCAAAGTTTGTAACGTTTTTACGTTTAGGGATAGTAAGAAACAGTTTAGAAACCTTTCCGCTATTTATATTTGCGAGATTCGATCCTAAGAAAAACAATATGTTTCAAAACTTTACCTGGTTTACCGCAAATCGGCTGTGCCAATCCGTGGTGGTTGGAAATATGAAAACCGACATTAAAATATAACAAAATTGCTCAGAAAATCAAAGTTAATTGACATTTTTTTAGCGGAAAGCCCTGACGGCCGAGTACAACGAGTTGCGCCAGCTGCTCCGCGAAAAAGACATGCAGCTGGCCAGTATGCGACAGAGATTGGTAAGATTATATTTTCAGATAAAAAACAGTATGTTTCTAGGAAAATGAAGAATTGGCGCAGGTGGATTTGCTCAACGGAAACGTCGAGCTGGAGGACCAGATCAAGAAGCTTGACGTCAAGCAGGAAGATGTAAGGCTAAAAATATTATTATTTCGCTGTTAATGCAGTACTGTACATTATAACACGTCCAGGTTAAAAAAATTTGGCAGCTAAAAATGTTCGCTTTAAATAAGGTACTGGACCGTTAGCGGGGGGCGGGGGGTTCCGCAGTACTCTCGTACGACCCTATTAAAAAATCATCATTTTTGATAGCATTTTAAATCGTTTTTGAGGTATAAAAACGCCTAAAATTAGAGCAATTTCGAAAATGTATTTTTGGCTTAAGTTTAATTAAAAGGAAAACTTTTTCAAGAGGCTTACTTATCGATTCAAATGTAATCTGGACGTGGCTTTAAATATGCATAGAATGAAGTAAAAAAAGGCTAGTAATTAAAAAATCTAAATTTTAAAATTGTGCGAAACTCGAAATCTTAAGTTGTTAATAGAAAATTTCCGAAAAAAAGGTGTTTCATAGTTTTCCACGGTTTTTGATACTACAGCCGGTTTAATGTTTCAACCAGGTCTTCTGATTAATTATGCATTTTTTTGCAGCTCTACCAACTGCTGGGCAACAAGAGCTCCGAAATTATGGGACTCGAGATGCAGGTTTGGTCTTACGCGTCCCTTTAAATTTGCATACATATCTACCTGATCAAAAAATATTTTCTATGAATACAATTAAAATTAAAAATAATCTAATTTTAGACGGAAAACCTGCGAACGGCCCTCGAAAAGGTGGCCCCGGAGATTGCGGCAAGGATGGGATAAATTAATGGCTTTCAAGGGAATTTGGTGACGTAATAAATTTTGTGTTTCATAATTTTTAAATTAGAACAGCAGTAAACATTGAAGCTGCACAAGAATCGGCAATACCAAAAATTGTTGTAACACGATTTTTCAACAAAAATCTGGTGAATATTTCGTTAAATCGTCAAAGATTAGCCTTTTACTATTTACTGTAAAGTTATATAAGTAATTTTAACTTTAACTTTAGCACCAGGAACAACTGTATCTCCCGACTGGTCAGTAAGATTAAAAATTTATGAAGCATAAAATTTTGAGAAAATAAAGAAAAGAGGTAGGCGATGGCACTGCAAGACGGATGTAAAATTTCACGATCCATTTTGTTTTTATTAATTGTCAAATTCTGGAGATCCATGTTATATTAACCAGGCGCGAAGCCGGGAATACCAAACATTGTTGTATCCCATTTTTGGTCAAAAGTCCAATATTTAGGCAACCATTTTGTTAAAACACCACGTTACATTTTTCACTATATGATGGGCAGACCGTTAAGCTATAAAAATAATTTTAACTTTATAAAGTAGATCTATATGGCTAAATTGTATTATCTGACGGTCAGTAAGCCTAAAAAATGTCCGAAACATACTTTTTTTATGAAGCTAACTGTAAAAGAAAAACGCGACGGTACAATTGAATGTAAAATAAAACTTCCTAATTTGCGTATCACAATCCTATCCTATAAGCGAGAAAAGTATGTCTGTTTTCTGTGCAGCCGATTTCTCGGCCGTCAGGCCGAATTTTTGCGCTGATTTTTGGCATGGAAGTGGAGAAACACATCCTCTTTATAGGCATTTTTTTGTTTTTCGAAATTCCCTCATTTAAGGATTTTACAAGCGAAATAGTGGAAAACCCTTAACATTTTGACCAAAAAAAGGTTTGTTCAGAGGATATCTCTCGATCCAAAAGGAATTCAGTGTTAATCTTTGGAGGTTAGATTGAAAATCGAATTCTCCCGATACATAATTTTGCGTTTTTTCAGATTTTGTAAAATAAAATTTTTATGTGCGTTTTTCTAAAAAGTCCTTAACAAAGTGGGCTGCGCGCCGTGGTGTTCAGTCCATAACTCGATGCCCATTTGGAATTTCGGGCTGGAATTTGGACAACTTATGTATTCGATAGTGGGGATCACGCGCATCTTATTATCGTTAGAAATTTTCAGCAGATTCAGACTCAAAGATCGAGTTTTGTAAAGTGACCAGGAGGCCACCCGCCCGGGATCATTGGGGCGCCCTTTTCTTTGCCACCCCTCCCCCCCAGCCTTCCCCAGAAAGAAGAGGCCTTTCAGGCCACCCGTTTCCATCGTCCCTGTGGTGTAGTGGGTTGGCGCCGGGTCTACTAAACGTATGGTCAGGAGTTCGGGTCCTGGGAGAATCCAACTTTTTGCTTTTTGGTAGTTTAGCAACAAAACGTATTTCTAGGCTCTCGATGTGCGAGGTTTAGGCCTGACCGTCGCTCTAGCGCCGCAGGCCGAAGAAAAGAGCTTGAACCAGGCTCTTGCGCCGCAGGCCAACGATGGGTCCTTGGCCCAGGCTCTCGCGCCGCAGGCCAACGATGGGTCCTTGGCCCAGGCTCTCGCGCCGCAGGTAACGATGGGTCCTGGCCCAGGCTCTGCGCCGCAGGCCAACGATGGGTCTTTGGCTCAGGCTCTCGCGCCGCAGGACAAGCTTGGGGGAAACCAGTAACTAGCGCCTCAGACCCAATTATCCTGGCGCAACGCTGTCTCTGACGCCGCAGTCCAAAGAATGGAAGCTTGACTCAGGTACCTGCGCCGCAGACCCAAGAAAAGAAGGTATTCAAATTCATGGTTTCTGGACGGGGTCCAGTGGAAAAGGGCCGCGAAGCGGTCTTTTTCCACTGGTTTTATATTGAGGAAAACTGTTTAATTGATGAATTGATTGATGAAATCCATTACTAAAAAACTGCGCCGAAGTGATATAGATCACCAAAGTTAAATGAATCATTAACATATCAAAAATGATAAAGTATTGCTTTTTTGTAGAGTTGTTATTCGACCCTAGTCGAAATGGTCGAAACTT